TGAAGAGTTTACTACTGAGGCCGCTGTAGATGACTCTACTACTGAGGCCACTATGGAAGAGTCTACTACTGAGGCCACTATGGAAGAGTCTACTACTGAGGCCCCTGTAGACGAGTTCACTACTGAATCTCCTGTAGGTGAGGGTACCACTGAAGCCCCTGTACGCGGTACCACTACTGAAGCCCCTGTAGGTGAGGCTACTACCGAAGCCCCTGTAGATGTGTCTACTACTGGATTCCCTGTTGGAGAGTCTACTACTGAGGCCACTATGGAAGAGTCTACTACTGAGGCCCCTGTAGACGAGTTCACTACTGAATCTCCTGTAGGTGAGGGTACCACTGAAGCCCCTGTACGCGGTACCACTACTGAAGCCCCTGTAGGTGAGGCTACTACCGAAGCCCCTGTAGATGTGTCTACTACTGGATTCCCTGTTGGAGAGTCTACTAGTGAAGCACCTATAGATGAGTCCACTACTGAGGCCCCTGTAGACGGGTCTACGACTGAATCTCCTGTAGACGAGTCTACTACTGAAGCCCCTGCAGATGAGCTTACTACTGGAGCCCCTATAGACGAGTCCACTAGTGAAGCCCCTGTAGATGCGTCTACTACTGAAGCCCCTGTAGACGAGTCCACTACTGAAGCCTCTGTTGGTGAGTCCACCACTGAGGCTCCTGTAGACGGGTCTACTACTGAGGCCCCTGTAGACGAGTCCACTACTGAGGCTCCTGTAGATGAGTCTACTACTGAAGCCCCTGTTGGTGAGTCTACTACCGAGGCCCCTGTTGACGAGTCCACTACTGAGGCCCCTGTTGACGAGTCTACTACTGAGGCCACTACTGAAGAGTTTACTACTGAGGCCGCTGTAGATGACTCTACTACTGAGGCCACTATGGAAGGGTCTACTACTGAGGCTCCTGTAGCCGAGTCCACTACTGAAGCCCCTGTTGGTGAGTCTACTACCGAGGCCCCTGTAGACGGTTCTACTACTGAAGCCCCAGTGGATGAGTCTACTACTGAAGCTCCTGTAGACGAGTCTGCTACTGAGGCCCCTGTAGATGAGGGTACCACTAAATCCCCTGTAGACGAGTCCACTACTGAGGCCACTATGGGAGAGTCCACTACTGAGGCCCCTGTAGATGCGGCTACCACTGAAACCCCTGTTGGTGAGTCCACTACTGAAGCACCTATGGGTGAGGCTACTACTGAAGCCCCTGTGAATGAGTTTACTACTGAAGCCCCTGTAGATGAGTCCACTACTGAAGCCTCTGTTGGTGAGTCCACTACTGAGGCCC